ATTTGTCATTTTTTGGACAAATTTTTTTTTGCAAACATTTTTACTATAAAACTGGATTTTGCGATAAAAAATTCAATTTTCGCAAATTTGCAAATTTTTTTGCAGATTCTAAAAGTAGAGCACAAGAGCTTTCTAATGATGTATCATTTGTCATATATGGACATAAAACATGGGATTTAGAGGGGGGGGGGTCAAATTGACCCCCCCAGCGTATCCTGGTTTTCAAGTACCCCAGCAGGGATAGGGTTAAACTTAAATAAACACGCTATTAAGTTTGTCCCTAGGCCTGTATTCTATATATCCATTTAAAGGAACTGTAGACGTAATTAAAATTTACCCTCAATTTATAGGGACATATTTCTGATTCACAACAGCACCCTTGCCCTTAAAACTTCGTCAAAAAAAAATGTAGTTTAACTCTAAATTATAGTTAAAAGCTTTAAACGTGATAATTGAAGATATCTTTCCTGTTTTTTTATCAGATAAACTTTTAAAGGGTATCACTGTGACTCATACATACCATCTGTAAAAAGAGGTCACTTGAAATTATGAAAGTCCCTTTAAGGTTCATGAAAATTGGAGATAGATGGATAAATAGAAATATTTTTACTACCGGTAGAATAATAACTGTATTCAATATATTGTTGTATCCAGGGTATTATAATAAATGTATCCAATATACTGTTGTATCCAGGGTAGAATAATAAATGTTTCCAATATATTTTTGTATCCAGGGTAGAATAATAACTGTATCCAATATACTGTTGTATCCAGGGTATTATAATAAATGTATCCAATATACTGTTGTATCCAGGGTAGAATAATAAATGTTTCCAATATATTGTTGTATCCAGGGTAGAATAATAAATGTATGCAATATATTGTTGTATACAGGGTAGAATAATAAATGTATCCAATATATTGTTGTATCCAGGGAAGAATAATAAATGTATCCAATATACTGTTGTATCCAGGGTAGAATAATAAATGTATCTAATATATTGTTGTATCCAGGGTTGAATAGTCAATGTATCCAATATATTGTTGTATACAGGGTATAATAATAAATGTATCCAATATATTGTTGTATCCAGGGTTGAATAGTCAATGTATCCAATATATTGTTGTATACAGGGTAGAATAATCAATGTATCCAATATATTTTTGTATCCAGGGTAGAATAATCAACGTATCCAATATATTGTTGTATCCAGGACAGAATAATCAATGTATCCAATATATTGTTGTATCCAGGGTAGAATAATCAATGTATCCAATATATTATTATATACAGGGTAGAATAATAAATGTATCCAATATATTTTTGTATCCAGGGTAGAATAATAACTGTATCCAATATATTGTTGTATCCAGGGAAGAATAATAAATGTATCCAATATATTGTTGTATCCAGGGTAGAATAATCAATGTATCCAATATATTATTGTATACAGGGTAGAATAATAAATGTATCCAATATATTGTTGTATCCAGGATAGAATAATAACTGTATCCAATATATTGTTGTATCCAGGGTAGAATAATAAATGTATCCAGTATATTGTAGTATCCAGGGTAGAATAATCAATATATCCAATATATTGTTGTATCCAGGGTAGAATAATAAATGTATCCAATATATTGTTGTTTCCAGGGTAGAATAATCAATGTATCCAATATATATTTGTATACAGGGTAGAATAATCAATATATCCAATGTATTGTTGTATCCAGGGTAGAATAATAAATGTATCCAGTGTTGCTGGATTGCATGGATATCCAGGGTTATCAGTGTACTGCGCCACTAAGCATGCACTTGAAGGATTATCTCAGGTAATATATATTTCAAGAGTAAGTTTACAGATAGTAGAATTTCACCCTATTTGACTGCTTTATCGGAACTTCCCGAGGTCAAAATCTACGTTTCAAAAACTAAATCTAACTGAACGTTCATTATTTCATTACCGTGAATACTGCAGGTTCTTCGGATGGAGCTTAACAAGTTCGGAGTTAACGTAGTTACAGTACAGCCTGGAGATTTTAGTAAGGTAAACTCAGTTTACAGTACAGTACAACCTGCAGATTTTTTAAAGGTAAACTCATTCTGCAGTAAGTACAGTACAGTACAGTACACTACAGTACAGTAAATTACATTACAGTACAGTATAGTACAGTACAGACCAGTACTGTACATAACTTTACAGTACAGTAAATTAAAGTCCAGAGCAGGACAAAGTAAACACCTTCATTTAATTATTTTTAAAATTATAATAATCAATTTGTTTTTAGGCTACTCATTTGTTGAACAGCCATCACCGGAACATGAACGAGATGTGGGGAGAGATGTCAGAACAGAGTAGAGAAGAATATAAACAGTTTTTTATTGCTTATCATGATGGAATATCCAGGTAAGGGGAGGGGGGGTGCAATGGAAGATTCCCTCCCTTGCCACAGATATTGAATATTTCGGTTTAAAACAAAAAATTTACAGTATAGGTCTAAAAGTAACAAACACTACATTTGGTTCTACTCAAAGTTGTTTTCATGATCATTATCTGAACAACAATGTGAAAAAAAACGTTGTTTTTCAAACTTTAAATTTGCTGAATTCTGTCAATTTCTTTCCTTCTCTCTGCCGCATTAATCTGTAAGTCACTTGAAGTTTGACAAAAAGCAAAGAAATTTCTGTCCTCCTTGCTCGGACAAATATAAAAAGGGAAATTGTCTGCCCTTCTTGCTTGGACAAATATTTAAAGGGAAATTTCTGTCCTCCTTGCTCGGACAAATATTTAAAGGGAGATTTCTGTCCTTCTTGCTCGGACAAATATTTAAAGGGAGATTTCTGTCCTTCTTGCTCGGACAAATATTTAAAGGGAGATTTCTGTCCTTCTTGCTCGGACAAATATTTAAAGGGAGATTTCTGTCCTTCTTGCTCGGACAAATATTTAAAGGGAGATTTCTGTCCTTCTTGCTCGGACAAATATTTAAAGGGAGATTTCTGTCCTTCTTGCTCGGACAAATATTTAAAGGGAGATTTCTGTCCTTCTTGCTCGGACAAATATTTAAAGGGAGATTTCTGTCCTTCNTTTATAACACATTGTCCTATAATTTTCAAAAAGAGAATTTAGTAGTCTATTTTTAAATATACTTAGAGAGTTGCTTCTTTTTAAGTCAAGAGGCAGGTTATTCCACATCTTAAGAATTCCCCTGTTTGATGGGAAATCATGTAGAATATCTTTCATCCCAATTAAAATGGAATCGAAGAAAAACATTTAGTTAATGAAATTATTGCTACATTTGTACATTATTTATCAAGGAAGTGGTAGATACATATACTATATAATTGCGCTAGTTATTTATAGAAAACTGAAAATCTCAGGTTTGCTCCTGTTATAATTATTTAAGTTCTATTTTGCAATTTTTATAGATATAATTCATATTAATATTTCATTTAATCCGTATAGTCCGTATTACGTCACCAGTACTTCAGCCAATGGCAGTGCAGTATACTGGTCACGTGATTTCCGTCTGTAACGTGACAACGATACTGAACTGTCATTGGCTGAAGTTATTGTGACGTAATACGGACTATACGAACTATAATATTATCAATTGTATCTATTAAAAATGCAAAATGCAAAATAAAAAATTATAATATGAGCAAACCTAAGATATTCTCAGGCTCCTGTGGGATATAATCGTTTTCAGATTGGTTGGGTAATTGTTGAATATGATCTGTTTAATGCTACAACTTTTATACAAAATCTGGCATATGTCCGTTTTGGTATAATTTTGACACAGTTTTATGTCAATTTCTCGAGACAGGAATATAAGATAGATGTCTTATAAGTATCGTTTAACTCCTGAGATTCTCAGGTTTAATCCTATACCCCCTTTCATTTTTCCTTTACAGTCCCTTACTAAAGAGTCACTTTCAATTCCGTCTATAGTCCCTTTCATGATATTCCAGCTGTCCCCTGCAGGAATTACTTCTGATATCGAGGTTGGAGATGATCCCTTCCTGTACTCTAATAATTTTAAAATATTCTATGTGCCACGGAAGAAGTATCTCTTGATACCGACCTTGATATCGAAGTTAAAGATGATCCTCTCCTGTCCTCTAATAATTTTAAAATATTCTAGGTCACTCGTAAGAAGCATCTTCTGATGCCATCCTTGATTTCGAGGTTAAAGATGATCCTCTCCTGTCCTCTAATAAGTTTATAATATTCTAGGTGCCTCGGAAGAAGTATCTCCTGATGCCAACCCTGATATCGAGGCTGAAGATGATTCTCCTGTCCTCTAATAAGTTTATAATATTCTAGGTGCCTCGGAAGAAGTATCTCCTGATGCCAACCCTGATATCGAGGTTGAAGATGATTCTCCTGTCCTCTATTCCAACCTCAGTAGCACAGCATATTATTTCATCCAGGTAGACACCTTATTTTATACATCGTCATCGATTTTCTTAACTTTGTGACTTTTAATTTTATGATTGATATATCTCTGAATTATAATAATAATAATTAAAGATTATAATTATAATCAGTTACAAATTCTCTGACATGTTTCTACAATAAAAAGATTTAACGCAGACGACCTTCAGTTCATCTTATTCTGGTTCAAATCTGGTTAAAACTGCATGAAATGAAAAAAAATTAGAACTGGAGCCGCTTTGAGTGTGAAAATTGTGTGAAACCCGAGTTTAACACATTTTCTATAACTGTCTCCACATAAACGACCTAGGAGTGAGAACTTTGAGATGAGACAACAATTTAAAATCGATTTAAATAAGTTCTCTGTTTCCCCGAGTTAACAGTGAACCGGAAAACGGATTTTTTTTACCCATAACAAAGAAAAGGTCCATTTTCTAATCTTTGATTTTAGAGAGAATTTATAATGAGAACCAGAAAACTCTGGAAAAAGAAGACGACTTTTAGACTCAGTTATTATTTTAAATAGTCCTGCGAACATGAAACATAGCAATTGTGCAGTGTCAACAGTCCCATTTCACTGAATGAGTGATTTAATAAGTTATTGTTTTCATGTCGTCTATCTATTCCACATTTTTCTGGTTCTCACTGTAATCTAAAGTTTAAAAAATGTTTTTTAAATGTGTTTTTTTAGGTATAAGAAATCCTTGCCCAAGATAGATGTTTCTAGAAGCAGAACATCCCTCAATACTATTTCTTATTAATAAATCAATCAATCAATGTTTTTTTATTAAAATATATAACTATATTAAAATATTTAATTTGTGTGTTAATCTTAGAGAAAGGGGTTAATTTCAAGATTTAAACATGTCGCCGTTCAACTTATCCTTATTAAATGGTATTTAATTTTCTTTTTCTTTTTCTTGTTAAGAGGTTGTATATAAATAGTCATGATTATTTCATAAGCTATAAAGTTAAAATATCTATCTGATAGATATTTCTTATGGGCTCATTTTCTGAATTATACCATTTACAAAGAAATTTTTTGGAGTCTAAAGAAAACATGAAAAATAAATATTGAAAAAAGGTTTTTTTTTTTCTTTTAGTTTTTCTTCTGCAGGACCAATTAATAATAGGATTGACTTTCCACAACAAACTAATTTTATTATATGCTCTCGACAAGAATACTGATAATGTACTTACATTTAACTATATGTTCTTTATTTTATTATATGCTCTCGACAAGAATACTGATAAGTATATTTTCTTTATTTTATTATATGCTCTTGACAAGAATACTGATAATGTACTTACATTTAACTATATGTTCTTTATTTTATTATATGCTCTCGACAAGAATACTGATAATGTACTTACATTTAACTATATGTTCTTTATTTTATTATATGCTCTCGACAAGAATACTGATAATGTACTTACATTTAACTATATGTTCTTTATTGTCCAGCCTCAAGCATGAACATGAACAAGGCTAATCCCGGTCTTTTTACTCCTACCTCATATACAATAAAAATAAACAATATTGAAAAGAAGAATTTATTTTGATCTAATAATTCGCCAATTTCAAATAATAAAACAACATAAAGAAAGATGAATTTTAGATAGAAAGTCAAATTGTAAAAGAGTTTCAAAGAACTGAACCGGTTTGTTGATAGATAAGATATAAAGAAAATAGTTACAATTAAGTAAAAAAAAATATAAGAATCGAATTTGCATAAGATATGCTCAAATTTATCCGAAGTCAGTGGGTTTTGTTGTAGTTGTAGTTGTTCTAATAGTTGTAATTGCAGTTGTTGTTGTAGTTGTAGTTGCAGTTGTTGTTGTAGTTGTAGATGTTCTAATAGTTGTAACTGCAGTTGTTGTAGTTGTTGTTGTTCTAGTAGTTGTAATTGCAGTTGTTGTTGTAGTTGTAGTTTGCAGTTGTAGTTATAGTTGTAGTTGTAATTGTATTGTAGTTGTAGTTGCAGTTGTTGTTGTAGATGTAGTTGTTCTAATAGCTGTAATTGCAGTTTTTGTAGTTGTATTGTAGTTGTAATTGTAATCGTTGTAGTTGCCATGATTTGGTTGTTTTGGTTTGTCTTGTTTTGGTTTTTGTTATTTTGATTGTTGTTTTTGTTTTTATTGTTGTTTTTGTTGTTGTTGTTGTTGTTGTTTTTATTATTGTTTTTATTGTTGTTGTTTAAGCAAATTCCGGAGGTAGGCTACAACAGGAGAAGCTTACCTAAATAAAGAGAAAGTTTGCTTATTATGGAACCAGCGAAGATCTCTTCCTCTCCTTGTATAGACTTGTTTTTTTCATGTATTTCTATCAAGAAGCAATAAATGTACTTCTAAGCTGTTAATATAAGGTTAGGGAAAAAGGTGGTAAAATGTAAGTCTCTGTTTAAAACTTGTTCTTTCTTTAAAATGAGATCGTTCATTTTAAGTAAAACTCTCCTTAAATGATGAATCTCTTAATTTTAAGTAAAAATCTCTTTAAATGATCATTTTCTTATTTTGAAGTAAAACTCTGTCATTTGAATGAGATTCTCATTATAAAACTCTCTTTAAATGATCTTTTTCTTATTTTGAAGTAAAACTCTGTCATTTAAATGAGATTCTCATTATAAAACTCTCTTTAAATGATCATTTTCTTATTTTGAAGTAAAACTCTGGACCATTCAAATGAGATTCTCATTATAAAACTCTCTTTAGATTATCATTTTCTTATTTTGAAGTAAAACTCTGGATCATTTAGATGAGATTCTCATTATAAAACTCTTTTTAAAACTTACTCTTGTCAATTACCCTTCCAAAAAATATAAAATATTTTGCAGCTAAAAATTAAATTTTGTGTGTCTTTTCCTCTTCACTTTGTCCAAGGAATAAAATGTCGTCTTTATCAACTATCGTCCAGCCCTAGTGCCTGGGTTGTACCTGGGCTATCCCTAGAGCATCTACATTGTTATTAGATCCTGGATCCACCTTGGTCTGAATACCACACACTGCAAACCCAGCAGGACAGATCTAGCAGCAGAAGATATCAAGGATTGAACCCATCAGAGAATTTGTTAATCAAGAAACCCATCATTTGTCTCAAACTCTAACTTTCTAGTCACTATTTTTTGCAACCTGAGAGTGTAAACTTTATAAACTTTGACTATTAGATTTGACAGAACTCATAGTTTCAAAATAATCAAATCGATATGAGGTCGCAAAGATATGATAAATCGAAAATTTTAGACAAGAAATTTTCTTTATTTGGGAACCAATTGGTTAATAGTGGTTTTAATTGGTTAGGTATCATCCTATTCTTTCCCCCACCTCCCCTATAGGACAAGAACCGGCCTGAATTACCTCCCCTATAGGACAAGAACCGGCCTTAATTACCTCCCCTATAGGACAAGAACCAGCCTGAATTACCTTCTCTTTAAAGGACTAGATGTGTCCTAAATTACATCCTCTAAAGGACAAGAAGCGTCCTGAATTACCTACTTTATAGGACAAGAAGCGTCCTAAATTACCTGCTTTATAGGACAAGAATTGTCCTGAATTATCTCCTCTATAAGACAAAAAACGTCCTGAATTACCTCCTCTATAGTACAAGAAATGTCCTGAATTATCTACTCTATAGGACAAGAAGTGTTCTGAATTGCCTCCTCTAAAGGACAAACCGTGTCCTGAATTACCTCTTCTATAGGACAAAATGTGTCCTGAATTACCTCCTCTATAGTAAAAGAAACGTCCTGAATTATCTACTCTATAGGACAAGAAGTGTTCTGAATTGCCTCCTCTATAGGACAAAACGTGTCCTGAATTACCTCCTCTATAGTACAAAAAACGTCCTGAATTATCTACTCTATAGGAGGAGAAGTGTTCTGAATTACCTCCTCTATAGGACAAAATGTGTCCTGAATTACCTAATCTATAGGACAAGAAGTGTCCTGAATTACCTCTTCTATAGGACGAGAAGCGTCCTGACTTACCTCCTATTGGATCGAATGTTGATGAAAAGCTTGTGCAGATAATACCAGGAGGACAAGAGATCCCACCACTTGTATCCTGGAATATATTTATATTTAGTGATTGTTTACTGTCAAGGAGAATAGAAAACGTTGGAGTACCAGTTGACCCGGTCCGCCCCGTCATATACTTATACATGTTTGACAGAACGGTACTCCATATGGAAAAGAGATTTAAAAGGGCGTCTTTAACCCGACTTTTTTATCACAGCAAAATACATGGTATTCTTTTTTCCTTGGTCACTATTTAGAATTTTGTAATAAATACAGAGGCCCATAGTATATCTAGATAAATTAGGTTGCACATTGTCCATATAGTTAAATGCGCTCATTAGTAAATACCTAAATCATATGTTGAAACTCAGTCAAACTCAAACCCATATTGTGATTGCTTAACTACGTTATATATAACAGCGCATAAATTGTAATTACGATGTCAAAACCTAACTTTAGTCTAACATCTAGAAATATACTTAGTTTAACAAGAGACTCCATACTGTTTACTGCAAGAGAGTAATTATTCCCTGTTTTAAACAAACATGTTGAGGATTGTGACCATTGGTTTGGTATTGATAGTTACGAGTTTCCGAATGATATGGATAGCTTACAAGATCGTGTCCATTAGTTTGGCATTGATAGTTGAAAGCTTGTGTCCTTATTGACATTGATAGCTGGTCCTTGTTAAAACCTACGAGCTGAGATTGTGACCATCGGTTTGGCATTGATAGTTACGAGCTTCTGATTGATATCCATAGCTTACGAGATCGTGCCCATTGGTTTTGCATTGATAGTTAAGAGCTAGTTCCCCTGATGACATTGACAGCTGTTCCTCCTTGAAATATACGAGCTGAGATTGTGCGCATTAGTTTGGCATTGATCGATTAAGAGCTTGTGTTCATGTGTTGACATTGATAGCTGATAAGTTGTACCTGGATAGATACAGATTTGAGAGTAGGGTATTTGCTACAAAAGTGGTAGCAGCTGCGAAAATCAAGGAACCCTAGTTAAATGTCAAAAGACTCCAAGAAACAAAGTACAAGGGATTACCTGTTTTAAATAGTAATAGGAGAAAACTGTGTTAGAAGAACAGTAACTGTGAAGCAACAAGTGTGGACAGTGTAACAGAATGTAAGAGGACAGTTTTGATAAAAAGAACAGATATCAGAAATCAGAAGAGAAGATGGGAAACTTCAACGCGATAAATAGGAATCCGTGTTGCAGAGAGTGGAAGAAATTGAGTTGCAACACAGAAAGGAAATTGAAAATGAAACAATGCTTAACGATGACTGGGAAACAATCACAGATAGAGAAATAAAAAGAATGACGGTTTCATGTATCACGACAGCAGCTAGAAGAGAGATAAAATACCGTTTTTTTGAACGGGAGCAGTAATCAAGAGATATGAAGCAGGAGTGTTTTTTGCAGAAATGATGAAAAGATTCTCACAACAAAAATCTGATGATATCCAGGGACAGGAATACCTAAACAAGAAACATAGAAAGGAGGAGGATACCAGAAGAGCTCATACAAACAAGATGAAGTTATATCGGAAACAGGAATACCTGGATAGGAAACAGGAAAGTGGTGAAGATACCAGAGAATATTATACTGCCAAGGAAGAGCTATGGTTACAAGCATACACTCCTGACAAGAGGAGCCTGGTTAAATTTAAGAATGAAATGCTCAAGGGACTGTACGATGCAGCGTTAAAGGAAACAAGTCTGTTTTTCATGCCTAAGGAACCAAAACACAAAAGAGAGATTAAGGCAGTACTAGACCGACAGTTATCTCCTGATAGACATGAGTTAAAAACTATTTATATAGTTTTGAGACGACAGAAAACAGCAGGAGTGTTGTAGAAAGTGGAGAAGCCAGAAACAGGAACAAAGAAACAGTTGTGGCACCTGATACAAGTTTAACAGAGAAAAATTCTAACAATGTATGCTTGAAAACCCTAGGATTGGAAGAAGTTAACCAAGCGGAAAGGAAGGATGTTACTTTGAGAAATATTTCTGATAGTTTAAAATAAAGACTTTAAATCCTGAATTCCCTGTAAGCCAGAAGTATCCCGAAAACAAATACAAGGAATATTGAAGGGTTGGGAAAAAATACTGAGTCTGAAGAATAAGAATAATATTGATGATGAAGAAAAGTCGAAAAACAAATGGAACTAAGCTCTCTAGATTGGCTGGATAAAGTGGAAACCTTGATGAGCATGATGAAGAGAAAGCGCTGGACGCTGGTGAGTAATGAAGACAAAGCTAAGATTGAAACCTTACTGAGTAATGAGAAAAGCTGGTTCTCGTTGAAACATACGAGCTGAGATTGTGCCCATTGGTTTGGCAATGATGAAATAAAAGATTGTGCCCGTGTTAACATTGATAGCTGATGAGTTGTACCTGGATAGATACGGATTTAAGATCCACTAATGGAGAAGGGTATTTACAACAATTCTACTATTTTGATTTAAGAAATTGTGGCTTTGTGATTTCCCAGTAACTATCTTTAAAGATGAGTATATCTGGTGCCCTTTAAAGCTTTCTTTGATTCATAAAGGGTAGGAAATCGATGTTTTGAATCCTGTAATTATAAAGTCTTTAATTTTGGAAGATTTCCTCGATTTCTCTGACGCAAAATCCCTATCAGTTAAGGTTTAAATCATTTCACTCAACCAAGTTCTTGTACTGTAAGAAAATATAGAGAAGTTATTCAATTTATTGTTATAGTGGAATAATTTGGTATAGAATTTAATTATTAAAAGGATACTATTGTGAATCAGACTCGACACTTTGACACTTTGTGTTCACTTGAAATACGCATACAGTCCTTTTAATATAGTCATTTGTTATCAAAATAGTTTGATAGATATAAACAGAAAATTAAATGTAAATTTCTCGTAAAAATTGTATTTTTTTAACTTAGACAACTTTTCAACAAAATTATAAATGATTCTTTATTTAAAGAGTTAAAAGCGTGAGTAGCATATCGTCGTTTTTATCATAAAGAGAGATAATTTAATATCTTTTCATGTCTTTTGTAGAGAAACTGAAAAGATGTATACAAAAAAGGATATCTTAATCAACTTTTCTCAAAAGAAGGTTTAAAGGATATAAGTCGGTCAATAAATCAGCCAATCTGTCACTTCAGACTCCTTTAATTACCTCTCCTGCATAGTACTCTGAGAGGAACTGTGACTGTGTAATGAATGAGTTGGCTGGGCAGTTTAGTCTAGCAGTTGATACAAACCCTTTAGAGCTTCCACCACCTATTCTACAATTAAAACAGATGTTATATAGCTTCCATTACATATCTGTGAAATTTGCTCTATCTTTCTATCTATCATCTATCTATCTATCTTTATATTTATACCTTCTGTAGTCTGGTAGAACAGATGATGATATAACACCAGATTCTATACTGGTGTCATTGTATGGTCCACAGTTCAACCTATGAAGTGCACAATGCGCAATGTAAAATATATTTTTTATGCATCTTCCAAGTCTGATAAAAAAAGTTTGATTGCGAGTGATCAGAAGTTCCGAAGAATTATGATTATCACACTATTTTCAGAATATACTATCCATATTTCAGCGACGGTAAAAAAAGATTTTAAGAAGAGTTTTGCAGAAATTTGAATTTCTCAGAAAGAAAAAAGAATGAGACTTTACAGATTTTACTTAGTCTTACTTCTTGAATTCTAGGTTTGCTAATTCCTACTACTCACCTAATATTGATAATTTACACTATAGTGAATTATTTAGGAAAAAACCTGCGGATTTTATTCAACATTGACAAAGAACGAAATTTACAGAATTTAAAACTGTTTTAAATGGAAAAATGACAATATTTTTGTCCATTGTTTCTTAGACTTAAAGACGCCTTAAAGGGTCCTGTTGTAAATCAGACATGCTACTCTTTTAAATGTGGGGGGGGGGGAATCATTTAGAATTACGTTCACTGAACTCCTTTAAGCTTGAACCAGTAGTTGACCCTGGTTCAAATTAAACTGCAATCATAAATTTCCAGCTGAGTTAGACTCGAAAGTGAGGCTTAACCAAATAGATTCTAGTAGAATTTTTACACTCTCAGTACAGCTGTATTCTGACGTCACAAGTGTCAAATCAGTATTTGTGTCCAACAAAATGATAGTGATAATTTTAGAATAAAGTGATTATCTTACAGTAAAATAAGTGCAATTTTATGTGTTCATTATTTTCCGTTTTTTAATTTTATATATTTATAAGTTTTTGTTTGTTTTGAGGAGGAGAATATTTTCTGTTTTACACTTTTTTTATTTGATCTTGGAAAAAATGTCAACTAATGTGAGAAAATTTAGTTTTTCATGTTATATTTGACACTTGTGACGTCGTGTATAATTGGTCCGTTTCTCTGTTGCCACCTATTGTACTTGATAATCTATTTGGGCTCAACCATTTCAAGAAATGAAGTTTGTGCTCAGAGATTAAATTAATTCTACGCTAAAGAGGGATTTAATTCTAAATCTTTTACCGAGGGAATCATGAGAAAGTCCTCATTGAAGACTTTTTTGAACAAACATACAGTGATAACCGAAAACTTTGAAATAGGAAGACGACCTAAAGCAATACTTAAGTGTATTTATTGGTGTTACAAAGCATATAGTTTTATCAGACACTTATTAAAAAAGTTAAATGGGTCTGTTTAAACTGTACAATTGCTGCGTACCATATGCATTGAACCATTTAAAGTCATATCTTCAGTCTGAAAGTCGTCTTATAATTTCAGAGTTTTCTGGATATCACAAACAACCCTTATTATTTTTGCCTTATTTTGGGGTGACACATAACTTGATATTTCATCAAAAACGCCTCTGAATGGCAGTTTCTGCGGTAAGCTTACAAAATTTTAGATGAAAAGAAGGAGAAACAATTTATAATGTATTTTATGACGAAACAAATAAAATATTTTCATCTTTTTTAGTGCAGAATTATTGATAATGATATCTCAGAAGTGTCTGTTATTATTTGAGCAGACAGTATTCTTTAGTTCCTCCAGATATTCAGGATGATGTATCCGGCCCGACCTTCCAGAGAATGCCCGAGCTTGATCAAATGCTGATGAGTTGATAAATTAAAAGGTTTTTACATTTTGAACTCAGGTTTAACTAATTTCATCTCTGGGCACAGACTTTATGTTTTGAAAGGGTTGATACTCATTGGATTCACTGTGACTCTCATCACTCTAGCAAAACTTTTTCGAAATAAAATAATATTCCAAACAAAATATTTTACCAAATTCCCATGAGAGCCGTGTCATCATCAAAATTACATCTGCTTGCGCATAGTGGAGCATATCGGAGAACAAAACCAGTGGCAAAGCTCCCTGAAGCACAGAACTGTCGTGGCCCCCAAGTTCCTCTAAACATGCAAAAGAACAGTGTTTTAAAACTTATTTTGTCAAAATCAGTGATATATATTTTTTCTTTTGTTTGGAACTTTTTAGTTTGTTAAACTAACTGCAGGCAAGTTTTTGTCTAAAGAGAATACTAAGCATAGAAAGTAAAATCGTTAATCCATAGCTCAACTATTATTCATCCTTGTACCCCGTAACATTTTTGTACCCCTTATATTTTTATACCTACATTTTTTTACCCCCTTATATTTGTGTTCCACCAATATATTTATCATTATTTTGTACCCAAAATATATATTATATTTTTGTACCTACTTATATTTTTAAGAACTCTCCTTTTAAACCTTTGAATTAATTTATGCAGTAAAGTTACCCTTGAGTGATGGTTTCAGGTATGATTATTTGTTGTATTGCCCAATAGTCATCAGCTGTTCGTACAACTAGAAGATTACATATATTATGTACTGTATATTGCCCAGTAATCATCAGCTGTTCGTACAACTAGAAGATTAAATATATTATGTACTGTGTGTAACCAAGTAATCATCAGCTGTTCGTACAACTAGAAGATTACATATGTTTTGTACTGTATATAACCAAGTACACTGCGATTTAATGGTTTTACGCTCTCATGCTTAAATTGTTGAGAGTTTTGCCAATTACTTCTAAAAAACTAAAGCTAACAACAAGTGCTTTATAGTGCTAAAATTTACATGTAAAAGGCTACAGAAAAGCATAAGTGAGTTAGAGCGGTAAAATCTAAGCTTAGGGCGTTGCGACACCTCAAAGTCAACCCTGTCTTAAAAATTGATGAGACTGTTTATAAGCAGGCTGAATATATGTGAGTAATCATCAGCTGTTCGTACAACTAGAAGATTACATATATTATGTACTGTGTATAATTCCCAGTAATCATCAGCTGTTCGTACAACTAGACGATTATATTATGTACTGCGTAACCAAGTAATCATTAGCTTTTCGTACAACTAGAAGATTTCATAGATTACATAAAACAGTGCACTTACAGTAGGAGTAATGTAATTTACAATATTAAGCTTTAGATTACGAGAGTTTAGAGGCATGTAATGCTACTATCCACTGTAGCATTTATCTTAGTATGTGTTCTATGGTTTACATACACACTATAATCTCCTTAGAAGAAGCTGATTGGTGTACTGTACAGCTTGACCTAGCAGCTAAAAAGTCGTCTTGAAATAAACCGGTTTTTACAGTTAATATAATCGTGTTTACCTGAACTACAATCAACTACATGTACTGTACCATCGAAACCTGGAGGAAGAACATATTCTACTCCAGCTCCTCCAGCTACATAGGTTACATCACTAAACAAACAGGTAGGAAGTGTAACAAAACCAAATAATTTGTTGCCTTTTTTCCTTTTGGCGTCAAAATTTTGCATAGTGTAGGAAGAAAAATGTTTTTAAATTTTGTATTCTAAACATTTGCTGTTCTTAAACGATGTCAAACTTTGACCCTGACAGAAGATATATGCAAAAAAACAACACAAAGTATGCAAAAAGGATGCAAAAAGAATGCAAAAACGATCGTTTTTGGATCTTGGATATTGGTAATTTTAAACAACATGTTGATCATTATATACATAATATTGATAATTTTAAACAACATGTTGATAATTTTATATATAATATTGATAATTTTAAACAACATGTTGATAATTTTATATATAATATTGATAATTTTAAACAACATGTTGATCATTTTATATATAATATTGATAATTTTAAACAACATGTTGATCATTTTATACATAATATTGATAATTTTATACAACATGTTGTTAATTTTGAATTGTTTTTGGTAGTTCGGTGTTCTGTAGAAAATGTTCCAACATGTATTTTCTTGCCAAATTTTTTTGCCCAACTCGATAAATAAAGGGGTCAGATTAATCTAGACTGTCATTTTACCTGAAGCAATAGAATATATTAGTGATGTTATCTTTAGAGTAGGAACAGCCATCCTCACATCTAGTCTCATTGGAGGATACTAGCCAGTACACTCCACTCTTAACAATACCATGGTAATAAGCTACCCATCCTCACATCTAGTCTCATTGGTGGATACTACAGTATACTCCACTCTTAACAAAGTCATGGTAATAGGCTACCCGTCCTCACATCTAGTCTCATTAGAGGATACTAGCCAGTATATTCCACTCTTAACAATATCATGGTAATAAGCTACCCATCCTCACATCTAGTCTCATTGGTGGATACTAGAATACTCAATTCTTAACAATATCATGGTAATAAGCTACCCATCCTCACATATAGTTTCATTGGAGGATACTACAGTATACTCCACTCTTAACAATATCATGGTAATAAGCTACCCATCCTCACATATAGTCTCATTGGAGGATACTACAGTATACTCCACTCTTAACAATATTATGGTAATAAGCTACTCATCCTCACATATAGTCCCATTGGAGGATACTAGTATACTCCACTCCTAACAAAGTCATGGTAATAAGCTACCCATCCTCACATATAGTCTCATTGGATGTTACTCATTTACTCAATTCTTAACGAGATCATGGATCATGGTAATATAAATAATAATAAAAATATTTACTTCTGGAGAGTCCCCAACAATTTCTTTTTTGTTGCAGCAGGTAGTAGATTCCGCTTTAAGTTCAGATACATTCCAGATATTTTAAAATTACATTTTCATAAGTAAAAAATACGAAATATTACATAATTAAAAAATGTTAATCGGTTTCAAAAACGCTCGAAATAACGAACGCTTAACGAACCACTCGTTTTGAACTTTATAAAACGAAAAACAATCGTTTTTGAAAACGATAGGTTTTTTGAAAACGAAAAGCAAACGTTTTTAAAATGATCGATTTTAAAAAATGATCGTTTTTTAAAAACGATCGTTTTTCTAAAACCATCATTTTATAAAAAAAATTACTAGTGAATCTGAGTTTTGGAAAGATAAAGTTACGAATGTTGTCTGAAATGTTTTTTTTATCGAAAAAAAATAATTGAATGTTTCCGACCTCGGATTTTCCCACCAAAAATGTATATTCAATATAAAAAATATAAAAGATTGTTAACGATAGTTAACGATCAGGGTCTTCGTTAACAGTCGTGAACGAAGGGTAGTCTTTTACGGTCGTGAACAAAGGGTAGTCACTAACGGTTATTAACGAAGGGTTGTTTTAAAAAAACGATTGTTTTTAAAAACGAGAAACGATAATTTTTGTAAACTACCGTTTTTCAAAAACACTACTTTCAAACACGATCGTTTCGTTTTTAGTTGTTTCTTCGTCGCTTTTTCAAAAAAACGGAAACGATCCATCCCAACCTGTATGGATCCATCCCAACCTGTATGGAATAATAAAAACCAAAATATTGAATAGTATCGCAGGAAAAAGAGCGTATAATATGTGCTCTCTCAAATCCGGAGATAAAAGAATAGTAATCTCTTTTTTTAAAAATTTAAAGAAATATTGCTAAAAAGTATAGTATCAAAACTTCCTCATATCATATATACTTTGATAAACCAAAACTTACTTACTTACAGTGAGAACTAGATTACAGAATACAGAAACAGTGAGAACCAGAATACAGAATACAGATAGAGTGAGAACCAGAATACAGAATACAGATACAGTGAGAACCAGAATACAGAATACAGATACAGTGAGAACCAGAATATACCGTGGATTGAATCTACTATTCTTCCTTCTTTAAAGGGACTGTGAGCGTAATTTCAAGTGTGGGTCACTTTGTAGAAAAACCACAATTTCAAATAATCAGTTCTCCAATTTATAAACTTTGATATCTAGTTCATATCTAGTTAAGGGTACGGTAGTGAATCGGGCATTGCCATTTTTGCAATGAGGGTCACTTGAAATTAGGCGCACAGTCCCTTTAACTCAAGAAATTTCTCTAAGAATTTTGTGATTTGCAATTGTTGCAACTTATATATCTTGAAAATAGTTTAGTTTGAAATTAAAAAAATATTCTTTACTGTTTTCTGGTTCTAACTGTTTATAGAAATATATTGATTTCTGGAATGAATTATTCCTAAAGGAATGAAAATAAGGAGTAAAATCAGCATGCTAGAGTCGAATATCCCAAGTTGGGACTCCTAAAAACAAATATATTTAACTTTATTTAAAAATATTTACTTAGATTAGCTGATTATAGGGATCATAGTCAAGCCGTGGGAACTTTTTTCCTTATGAAAGGATTGGGTCGGAATGAGGAGCGTAAAATTTGTCAAAGAAACCATGGGCAGTGACTATGATACCGCAGGCAAAGAGTTGTCAGGAGACAAAGAGTCACCAGTGGACAAAGATTTGCCAGGGAACTAAGAGTTGCCAGGGGAAAGTTACCAGGGAACAAAGTTGTGAGGAGACAAAGAGTGGACAAAGATTTGCCAGGGAACAAAGAGTTACCAGGGGACAAAGAGTTCCAAGGGAACAAGGAGTTCCAAGGGGACAAAGAGTTGCCAGAGAACCAAAAGTGGCCAGGGGACAAAGAGTTGCAAGGGTATAAGGTTGCCAGAAGACAAGGTTGCCAGGAAACAAAGAGTTACCGGGGGACCAAGAACGTTCAGGGAACCAAGAGTTGCCAAAGGAAAAAGTTGTCAAGAGACAAAGAGTTGCGAGGGGACATAGTTGACATGGTCAAAGTTACCAGGGGACATTGTGACCAAAGGACATTGTTGCCAGGGGACATAGTTGACTGGGACAAAGTTGCTAAGGGACAAAATTGACACGTTGTTTACTTTGTTACAAGAAAGAATTAGTCAACATCATTAAATAAAATGACTCACATAAAAAGTAAAATCCAAGAATTTTTAGAACTTTTGTAAAATCACTGTATCGCTTTGATTGTTATATACTTAACTTCTGTTTCAGTGCAAGAACATTTTTCATGAAATGAAAGAACATTTAGCTGGGAACAAGTGAAAAACAGGTGTCGGAGAGAATGGTATTCATTAAAGGTATTATTTAACACAATAGGACAAAAGTTGCTTCGTCTGGTGTACTTTAGTATTTTCATCCGGCATACAGCATACACAGGATACAGAATACAGTAATTAGGATACAGAACACAGAATACAGTTACCTTGATACACGATACAATATACGGGATACATGATAGAGGCTACAGGAAATCTTGGATAAAAAGGCATTAAAAAGATTTGTTTTAAAAATTTCCTGCCGTTTTTCAGAGAAATTAAAAAAAACAGATTTTAGGATTAAAAACAATTTACTTTATAGATTTGTATTTTCAAATAGTTTTTAAAGTTTTTGAAAGAAATACATTAAAGGGAGTGTTCGCGAAAAATGAAAGGGGGTATAGGCTTAATGCGATAAAAAAGCGCTTTTGATCGCTACTAATCTTACTTCTATCTGTTGCGTCTATAAGGAGAAAATTGTTAGAAACGACTCACACGGAAGAACGCAGCGCCCACACAAATTCGGAAAGATGCAACATTCAACTCGGATCGTAAACAAATCAATTTAATTCCAAACAAATAATTCAGATATTACAAACAATAGTAATCGGTTATTTTTCGACGCATTCATATATAGTTAATATTTCATAATATTTTTGATTTTGTTTTTTTAGATTAATTTTCGCTGGCGCTGGATTTTCGAACATTCTTGGAAAATATGAAAATGTCGTCTTCATTATCAAAAATCCTCGAAACAGGAAAAAATGTAACTCTCAAATCATGAAAAATACAAAATATTAAAAAATATCAACTATTTACGAATGCGTCGAAAAATAATCGATGACTATTGTTTGTAAAATCTGGATAATTTGTTGGGAATTAAATAGATTTTTTTACGATCCGAGTTGAATGTTGCATCTTTCTGAATTTGTATGAACACTACGTTCTTCGGTGTGAGTCGTTTCTAACAATTTTCTCCATATAGACGCAACAGATAGAAGTAAGATTAGTAGCGATCAAAAGCGCTTTTTTATCGCATTAAGCCTATACCCCCTTTCATTTTTCGCGAACACTCCCTTTAAAGCTTAAGAGAATTATGAAAAACATCGCAGAAGCACAACATTTTTTTAGCATTTTTAAACATATTTCTTAGTAATATTATTTTCATTCTGTTTTAACCCTTCAAGGAATATAAATATCAGGGACCATATGTACAGTGATGATCAGTAAACTTTGAAATAGGAAGATGACAAATAGTTTTACAAGTCACTAATTTAGTGAGATAGGTCTTTTTACGCTGTATAACTGTTGTGTTCCATTTTTAAAGCCATAACTTGAGTATAAAAGTTGTCTTTCCTTGTCAGAGTTTTCTGGTTATCACTGTACATCATCTTTTTTAGAATAACTACCTTTGGTCTATAGCACTTTACTTTGTTTACAAACACTGTAAACTAGACAGAGGGAGAGGGTAACATTCTTACAATATAATTGGTACAATTAGCTTTGTTGCCTCTATAGCTCTCTACCCGCTTAAACCCCAAGCTACTGTTTTCTAAAAATGATAAAAGGGAAGAAGGGGGTAGGGGGGGGGAAATATATTTAAAAATTTATATCATGTTACCTAGATTCCAGTCTTCATATTAATTTTGTTGACTTGAAAGCCAGGAAAGTCAAAGAAGTCAACAATTTAGGGGTTTAAGCGGGAAGTTTTGAAGAGAAAAGAAAATGTCCGGAACTCCGGACACAGATTAAAAATTCAAAATATTTTAGTTTTTCTTAATATAGCTCTTTAAAAAGCGTCGATATGTTTAATAGTAAATAAGATAAAGAGGCCGAATTTAAAGAATTTGAGCCCCGGCTCAAATATGGTTGGTTTCACTTAAAGTTGTATTCAATGTTTCAAGACTTAAGCCGGCGCTCAATTGAAACTGATTTTTGGCGAATTTAAGACACGGCTCAAATTCATTAAATTGGGACTCAGGCTAATTAAGGAGCACTGAATTTTCTTCTAACATGAGAAAGATACACCATACAATTCCATCTGGAGGTGGGCTTCGTCCGTTTTTAAACATTTAAGATTTTTACTTTAAAAGTTCTCCACGAGAATGTGAGTTATTTGACGCAGTGCAGTGTAGATAATTAACGATTTTTCAAAACGATGTATTAAAATCGATAATTTTGAAAAAATTGCATTGTGTATTATAAACGCTAACTTATTAAGCATGCAATTTTGAAAAAAGGATGTACAATGTACAATGAACATGTCTTAGATTTTTTAGAATCTCTAGACTGGGGCCGGGTCGAAATCTATGTATAGACTAGGGGCGTCCCACGCCCCCCCCCCCCTAGAAAAAGGCCTTAGAGATTAGGAGAAAGCCAGTCCCACTGCTTTGCAGACAAGTTCGGTAAACTTTACACACACTCTTTTGGTACAGACACACAACATGACTACAGTCAAGAAAATTGCAGAACAATGTTGTCAATTATAATTAAGCTGGAATAACGAGTAGTTTATTGTAAACTTTAATCAAATTATATTCTTTGCATAAAAATTTGGCTTATAGTGTTGACTTAAATATATAAATAATAAACTACATGTATATTAAACTTATGTTAAGTAAACAATTAACAATAAACAAATGTACTCTCCTAGACTGTACAAATACCGAGATTCGTATGTACTGTATATAGCTACTGTACACACCTTCGGTTCGGTAAACTTTACACACACTCTTTTGTTACAGACACACATACATGACGTTTCCGCCCCCTTACCGAAATCTTATATAGTGTAGAGTGAACTTTGTTTTACTTGAAAAGTGTTTAATTCTGAGAATTTCTCAAACTGTTTCTAAAGATGGAAACGGCAAATTAAAATTAACTGTTTTTTCTATCTAATTTATATATACCTAATCAAAGGTAACTTAAAAATATGTTTACAGTCCCTAATAAACTCATTTTCATACAAAGATTAGAATAATTATTTTAGCTGTTTTTCTCTACGAGCATTATTCGTGAACCGTATAGACTTGCATTTTAACAACTTTTGAAAAGTATACTCATTTCAAGTTTTAAAGAATATATTATTGTAAATAAAACATTTTATTACATTCATTTCATTCTACAGGTTTTCTTTCTTTATTTTCAACAGCTTTCTAGCTCGTTAAAGGGACTGAGAGCAAAGATGGCAATATTAATTTGATCAATAATGCGAAAGATTTGTTCGTTTTTATACTTCAAAAGTATTGATAACTCCTTTCTGTTTTCTTGCAGTAGAAATGCGCAAATCACAATTGAAATTAATACTTTTCAACTATTTAAACATGGATATCTAATTCATACTTGATCAGACCAAGCGTGTACGAGTACCGTTGTAAATCGGACATAGCCATCTTTCCATGGGGGTCACACGAAATTACGTGTGTGCCCCTTTAAGAAAATGAAGAACAAAGGCTAAATCGCAAACCGATATTTGCCAGCTTTCTATGCAATTTTCTCTTTGTTTAAAAAACATTCAGATTTTTTCTACTTTTCAAGAAACTATTATTTTAGAATTAAACTTTATTAGTTTTAATTTAATTGGAATACTTTAACTTTTCTTTATTGTTACCGAGTTTAATTTAATCTGAATACTTTAACTTTTCTTTATCGTTACCGAGTTTAATTTAATCTGAATACTTTAACTTTTCTTTATCGTTACCGAGTTTAATTTAATCTGAATACTTTAACTTTTCTTTATTGTTACCGAGTTTGTCTTATTTTTTTTTGCTATACCGTCCCCAAACTAGATAGATACTGAACTGGAGCAGCTATACGATAGAGTAATAGAGGAAGCTGCTCGGACAGATCCTGAACTGTAGCAGCTGAATATCTGAAGTAACTTAAACCTGAATAAACGTTACAGATGTATTTAATAAATAAACTATGAAACTGATTAATCCCAATTAATTTATACCCTGAGAGATATGGACAGAGATGTTATTAAAGGGATTAATACCAAAACAAGGGTACACGGGGAAATAGAGTGAAATATTTGCATAAGCCCTACAACGAGGAGAGGAAGGCCAACCACAACAAATTCTCGTCCGAGCCACCTCGAAATCCTCGTTCTTTAATATTATTTTTTTAACATTCTAATCCTTCCAGATAAAACTATTTTTTAAGAATCAAGCCACGTTAGGGCAAAAATGAAATATAAAATTTTTGCAAATCAAAAAAAAAAGTTTCAATTGAATTAAAAATTTCAAGTTTAGTGTCTTTAAAAATGTTTACCTTTTTTACGCGCATTTTCAGATATTCCTGGTGTAGAATGCCGCAAATAATTCTAAGTTTATAGAACTTCAATCTTTTTTGTTAACTATAGTTAAAACCATATAATTTTTCCGGGTGGTTCCATGGGGAAAATTATAGGCAGAGGTATACCGAATATTTTGCTATTTATTTTATATCACAAAGGTTAGCCATTACGGAGGCAGAAGAGATTTAAGTTTTACCTCAATAAAGTTTGACATCATTCTCATGGGTTTGAAGATTCCAACATTATATAATCATTGCAATACTTTAGTCCATCCATATTTTATGCCCTAACGTGGCCAGATTTTTAAAAAAATAGTTTTATCTTCAAGAATTGCAAACTTTTCAACACAAAATGATCGAAGGACGAGGATTCCGAGGTGGCTTGGACGAGAAAATGAGGAGAATGTGGCTCGGACGAGAACTTGGTGTTGCTGGCCTTCCTCCCCTCCTACAACCATGGGTGAAATTGATGGATCTCGAAACTCCCTGGCTTGTAATAGAAGACAGTAATAAATATTACATTGTAACCATAAACTCAGTTTGTCAGTATAATATTCTCTGGTATCTTCATCATGTTACTGGCTCCTGTCTAGGTATTCCTGTTTCCGGCATAAACTCAGCTTGACAGGATAATATTCTCTGACATCGTCATCATGTTCCTGTTTCCTGTCTAGGTATTCCTGTTTCCGGCATAACCTCGGCTTGTCAGGATAATATTCTCTGATGTCTTCACTACTTTCCTGTTTCCTGTCTAGATATTCCTGTTTCCGGCCTCGTATTTCATAAAAAAGTAAAACAACAAACTTATTTATTTTAGGTTTTTTAATCACAAGTAAACTAGTTTCTTGTTTGACGGTTTGTTTACTCACAAATTAACTGGTTTCTTGATTCATGGTTTGTTTATTTTCAAAAAAAAACTGACTTCTTAGTTTGTTTACTCACAAATAAACCGGTTTCTTGTTGGTTTACTCACACATAAACTGGTTTCTTATTGATGATTTGTTAACTCACAAATAAACTGGTTTCTTGATTTCAACCATTTTCTTGAATACTTTTACAGTGAGATACAGTGTCAACCACTAAAAAAAAAAGTTTATGATTGAACGTGCTTTCAGAAAAAAGTATTAGCGAAAAAAATTGTAAGAATCGTAATAATGCTAGTAACATAATAATAATAATAATAATAATATTAATAATATAATCATAACAATAATAATGAAAATAATAATGATAATGATAACAATTAAAGGTAATAATTATAATATTAAAAAAGGTGTTCTACCTGCATTATACTAACTGATGCTATGGTTAATCCAAATGGTTTTTGATGAAGATTTATCCAGGAATCTATTCTTGAATAGCAACCCTTCAAAAATAGATTATTTCGTTGGGATACAATTTTTGCAAAGGAACAAAAAAATACAAATAAAGGATTCGCATAGGAAAAAAGAATATTTATAGTTGAATAAAAATTAAGAAGTTGTTCAGGAAACGGAATATTGATTAACTAAAAAGGAATATTATTAAATCGTTCTGTAAACTTACGGAATATTGATTAACTAAAGAGGAATATTATCAAATCGTTCAGTAAACTTATGGAATATTGATTAACTAAAGAGGAATATTATTAAATCGTTCAGTATAACTTACGGAATATTGATTAACTAAAAAGTTACTGGAATAACTATTTGCTCTTCAACAAACACACTGAAATGTCGTCTTCCTTTTCCAGATTTTACTGGGTCCTACTGTATACAAATCTATATTGCAGCACCTGACTCCATCTATATAAGCTGTAAATCTCCGAAATATTTGATTGACAGGCGACTAGATTCTCCGGCTGTGGTTCCTTCCAAGCTCGATAGGACTAAATATTAGAATGTCGTCTTTTATGGAATATATTTTTTTAAAATTAATTAATTGATTTAAATGCTTTGAGTTTTTAGAATGTTATAAAAATCTCTCATCAAAGGCATGTAATTTATGCTTAGAACTTTTTAGTTTTATCGATCATATTGGAGGTCGGAATTTATGAATAACGAGGAGTAGTAGATCTAGTGTGGCCAAAGTTGGTCAACTTGCTATACCTAGTTTTAAATTTGACCTTGGGTTAAAGATTTTTAGAAAGTGTTTAAAGTTATAATAATGTACAACTGTTTAAAAAATTTAACTTATTAAAGGAGTTTACCTCCTGATTAAGGAGTTTAACTTATTTAAGGAACTTACCTCCTGATTAAGGAGTTTAACTTATGAGAGGAGTTTTTCTCCTGATTAAGGAGTTTACCTTATCAAAGGAGCTTACCAGCTGATTAAGGAGTTTAACTAATTAAAGGAGCTTACCTCCGGATTAAGGAGTTTAACTTATCAAAGGAGCTTACCTCCTGATTAAGGAGTTGACCTTAATATAGGAGCTTACTACCTGATTAAGGAGTTTAGTTTATCAAAGGAACTTACCTCCTGATTAAGGAGTTTAACTTATCAAAGGAACTTACCTCCTGATAAAGGAGTTTAGTTTATCAAAGGAACTTACCTCCTGATTAAGGAGTTTACAGCATGTTCTCGGGACAATTAGCTGAAATGTTGAGAAGCTGGGTAAATCTCGTCTTCTCCAACTAGAAAGTAAAAATATTGTGTAAGTGGGTGTTTTTCACATTTTTTCTGTTTCACAGGATCGGAAAATGTGAACAATATGGCCCCTACCTTTTACGCTCCGTTTACCCAGTTAACAAAAAGACAATAAAAGCAAAACATTACAAAAAAAAGTTGGGTATAGAGAAAAAAATGTTTATTAGTGATATCCTTAAAAATTCATGAAATGACTGTGACCAGTCATGTGGATTTTTTCTTTATTTCTTTAACTATCCTGCAAACAAATTTAAAAAGTCATGATTGCACAAATCTGTATGTCAAAGTTTTAGTTAAAAGTCCATTTATTTGTATGATTTTTTGTAATTTTGAATTACACTTCACACTTTTTCTCCCAGAGGCATAATTTACCTGTTCACAATAAAATTAATATCACAATGTCTCCAGGGTATTAGGATTATATAAAAAGTTATTGGATTTGGTCAACCCTGCTCTGAATAAATGCTTTATGTCTCTTGGGGGATGGAAGCTATAGAGCACACATAGAATTGGTGTATAGACTAAATAAAGACATCATCCCTATCTTTTAGAATGAACCCAAGAAGTAAACGGTATGAATCCAATGTTTTTAAGATAAGGATTATTGATGAGAACAAACTTGTGTTATGTTCTCCATTGTTACAGATAAAGTCAATATAAACTGACATTCCTTTTAGAGGTAGATTTATATGTTCTCCGAATACCTCCAAATATCTGGAAGTAAAAAGATTCGGAAAAGTAAAAACCATGTCCTGACTCCTGTTTCAGTTTTGCATAGACAAAAATAATGCTTTTTTATAATTTTTTGGAGGGAGGAGATCAGAGGGACTGCGGTCGTAAATTTAAGTGACTCTTTATTTCTAGCGTGCAATGTCCAATTAACAACAGTACCCTGACAATTCTGGTTTCTCCACAAAATTGATTTGCACATCTTTCTTGCAGGGACAAAAGGAGGACATTATCAAAATTAAGAACTTTTTCTCCATTGCATTGGTGAAATAAAGGTTTAAAACTTTAAACTGTACTGATGTTGTAAATCGGCCATATCCCTTTTTAAATGTATTGAATGTAACTATCTGTTCTTACCAATACAAAAACTTCACACTTGATTCAACCTCTTTATCTGTCGCTTTAAACACTATGTTTTTTAATGAATATTTTGGATATTTTTTTAGTCTGCTGGTCATTATTGGTAATAACTGTAATTCTCATAAGCTTACCTCTGACCCTTTAATAAAAGTAAATTCTGACCGCGTCAACCTTGTTGCACCGGCTATTCCTATTGAGTGTCTGCTTTATATACACGATGTTCCAAGCGATACAGTACAAACTGGGATTGGAAAGGTTGACCCGGCTCGGAAATTCAAATGTACTACGGCTGCCCTTGCAACTGCTGGTATATTTTGTTAACGAAATAACAAACCTCAACTGCTGGTATATTTCGTTAATGAAATATCAAACCTCAACTGCTGGTAAATTTTGTTAATGAAATAACAAACCTCAACTGCTGGTATATTTTGTTAATGAAATAACAAACCTCAACTGCTGGTAAATTTTTTTAATGAAATAACAAACCTCAACTGCTGGTATATTTTGTTAATGAAATAACAAACCTCAACTGCTGGTATATATTGTTGATGAAATAACAAACCTCAACTGCTGGTATATGGTGTTAATGAAATAACAAACCTCAACTGCTGGTATATTTTATTAATGAAATATCAAACCTCAACTGCTGGTATATATTGTTGATGAAATAACAAACCTCATCTGCTGGTATATGGTGTTAATGAAATAACAAACCTCAACTGCTGGTATATATTGTTAATGAAATAACAAACCTCAACTGCTGGTATATAGTGTTAATGAAATAACAAACCTCAACTGCGTGTTTTCCGTGTAGTCTGACCAATGCTCTATTCCGCAGCATAAATGCTAAAGTAAAAAGAAAATGTTTACAAAAGTAAGAGAATATTGTGGAATAGAAATCCATCAAACATCCACTTTTGTTTCCCGACCAAATCTGGCCGCTTAAAATATCCTAGAGTATCAACTATGTCATAATCTGATATAGGGTTTGATTGGAACCAATGCTTAAACCTCAGATTTCTTGGATACAACTCTACTTCTTTCAGAATCTCTTGTCAATAATAACAGTGCTCTGGTTAGCAAGGAACGGGTTCAATCTGTAAAAGATTGCCCAAATTAATTTTATTTATAATCAAAAAAAAAGTAAAATAAAAATACAAAATGCAATCAATGAAGTAATATACAGAATTAGTTACAAGAATAAAAAAACTGCGAGAATCTTCAACATAGTCAAACTCAGTTTAATTTAAACAATTCAAGGATACAAAAGCTCATTTATCAAGTAAAAGATTATAGTAAGCCTAATTAATGTGCCATAAACAGGTCACAATGTTATCTCTCTGTATCAAAATATCAAGTATAACTGACGAGAAATGGAGCACACAGTATAAAGGAATTGAGTCTTTGTCACTAACAAAAATTTTCTAATCCCTATATCTTAGCAAATTGATGGTGCAAACCTTTGATATTTAAAACTTAGATTATTTAATCTACCAGAATTCTTAGTTTGAAATATCTAAGGTCTACGGAATTGGGTTGCAAAGATATTGTGATTATAAAATCTGAGTAAATCCTTTCAGGTAAAGTTTACAAATCAAAAGTAATTTTGATGCTGTGCAACACTGAGGGGTGAGGGAATTCAGAACGGGACAATTTCGTCGCGTAACATCTTTTAACTTTTAACTACTTTTAAGACAAATCCTAAGTTTGTCCGAACTGATGTTACCATGATTACTCCTTTTTACATGAAACTAGAAATCAAGCCCTGCAAAATGAAGATGTTTAGGGCTCACATAGATTCAGCCTGCCTTATAAATCGTCTCATCAATGTTTGGTACAGAGTTAACTTTCAAGTGTCGCAACGTCTTGGGCTTTGAATTTACTGCTTTAACTCACTTATGCTTTTCTGTAGCCCTTTACATGCATATTTTAGCTCAAATGAAGCACTTGTTGTTAGCTTTGGCTTTCATGAAGTAATTAGCAAAATTCAAATAGATTTTTCTTTGAGAGTTTTAGGCCTTTAAATAACAGTGAGCTGTGTATCTGAATACCAAATATACCATTTTTTCTTGTACACATGGAATACCATATCATTCTGAATAAAACTATTTAGTTATTTCTGTTGATTTGATCCAACAAGATTGTTAGAAAAATAATCCTGTATTACAGTTTTCTTAATTCCATAAAAGGAAATCATTTTTCATTTCTACTTTTTCATCTACATGTTTAGTATGGAACAGCGTAAGTCAAATATAATTTTTAATTTTTTTGGAACACTCTTTACCAATTGTAAATTTTCTGAGACACCTTTTCAGAAATATTATTTAGTTTACAAGTTGATTAATTTATGAATTATACAAGTATACAATGTCACTATGGAGTTGTATCCTCTAAATCTACCAGACAGAGAATATAGAATATTCTAGATTGAAATATGTTAAACTTCAATACTAGACAAGAGCACTTTTACTCCAGATATATTACACTGCTCAAAATATTTTAGTGAGTACATTTACATTACTCTCCCAAACTGCTTTTGTCAAATTTTGTCAATTTTTCAAAAATTGACTAAAAATTACGTAGATAGACACATGGAGTTTTCTGTCCTTGCTAAACAATCCAAGATTTAAAGTTTACCATTGTAAATAAGCAGAAATGGTCGCTTTAAATTTTTACAATCCCTTTAAATATTCCAAATGACCAACCTTGTTCTGAACGAAGTCCACTGCCTACAATACATAATGATATTTTCAAAATTCATTTGATTTTTTTACTCTAGAGTTCCTTAATCAAATATTTTAAATCAATACTTTTCTCAGAAACATTTGTGTGTAGCCCCCATTGAGTTGAATTTTGATATTCAAGAAAAGTTTAGATAATAAATGGTGAGGTAAAAGATAATAAATGTTGAGGTAAAAGATAATAAATGGTGAGGTAAAAGATAATAAATGTTGAGGTAACAGATAATAAATGGTGAGGTAAAAGATAATAAATGTTGAGGTAAAAGATAATAAATGTTTAGGTAACAGATAATAAATGTTGAGGTAAAAGGCAATAAATCATGAGGTAAAAGATAATAAATGTTGAAGTAAAAGATAATAAATGTTGAGGTAAAAGATAATAAATGTTAAGGTAAAAGATAATAAATGTGTAGGTAAAAGATAATAAATGGTGAGGTAAAAGATAATAAATGTTGAGGTAAAAGATAATAAATGTTGAAATAAAAGATATTAAATGTTGAGGTAAAGATAGTAAATGTTGAGATAAAAGATAATAAATGTTGAGGTAAAATATAATAAATGTTGAGGTAAAAGATAATAAATTTTGAGGTAAGATATAATAAATGTTGGAGTAAAAGATAATAAATGTTGAGGTAAAAGATAAAAAATGTTGAAGTAAAAGATAATAAATGTTGAGGTAAAAGATAATAAATGTTGAAGAAAAATGTCTTTGGAAAATTAAACTGTTCATGATGTCAATATTCTATTTAAAATGTTGAAAATTTTTTCTGATTTACTTTTTAATAAAGCCTTCTCATACAGGGTGTCCCAATAAACATGGAAATTCAGTGACGAATTCAATATCGTCTTTTTAAATAATTCTTTGATTTAGTATAGTGATACCTACTGAGAAAGCTGTAATCTGCAAGAGTTTCGTCTGCTATGTTCACATTTTGTTTGTTTATGTTTTGACTACATACGGTTGTACTTAGTAAAACAAGAAAATTGCAGTATACAAACAGGGTAAACTTGTCTGTCTTTACTGTTCATTTTGCGGAGACATTATAGACACATCTTTACAGTCTTTAACCCTTTTCATAAAATAAACTCTAGCAGACATGATGATATTATAGGATTTGAAATCAGGTATTACAATGCTAATTCATAACAAAGACGATATCGAATTTGTCACTTAATTCCTATGTTTTTTGGGCACCCTGTACCTTCTTTATTCTTTCTGCTGCCATAAAGAATGATGTAAAAATGAATGTGTTCTATCCCAATACAAGAAAGTTCCTGAATAGGTTAATTAGTCGATAAAAAGAATAATATGTGATTAGTCTCATTTTCCTGATTAGTACATTATTGCATTTCCTTGATGAATGTAGAAAACTCCGGCTTCCCATACTCAACTACTAATCTCTTCTTCAACACATCTCTGAAAAATATATTTTTAAGGGATTGATTATTTGCTCAAAATAAAACTAAAAAAACTTTGTTTACTGCAGTTTCCGAGAGGAAAGTAAGCACATGCAGTGCATCAGGCAGGGCTTCGTTTTTATGTCTTCTGGAAACTGCAGAACACTTTATTTGTAAACAAAGCTATATGAGTTTCAGGTATATTCCTTGGGCAATCCCATTGTTGTAGTTCATATAGACATCTAAGATTTTTCTGTATTGAATTTATCAATCATGGACATTATTTTAATACATTTTGATAATCTACTTGTTTCAAAGATTTTCAAGCATGAAAGATTTTTATAATTAAAAATTTGAAAATATCATGTTACAATAAAATCAATTTCACTAAAGTAATTGAGTCTTTGCCAATTTCAGTTTTTGTAAAACCTATATCTTTGCAACCTTATGATGTAAACCTTTGGTATTTCAAACTTACACTATTTGATCTAATAGCATTCATAGTATGAAATATTAAAGGTCTACGACATTGGGTTGCAACGATATTGAAACTAGAAAATCAGAGTTTGTGGCAAAAACTCAGTTCCTTTGTCAGTTAAAACCTGACAAATGAGTAAATGTATTCCAGAAAAATTAGCTTTTTAATATCAGATTAAATATCAAATATTTTATATTTAAGTAGTTTATTTAGCTTTTACACAAATCAATTACCCAGCATTTGGAAAAAAAAGGAATAAACATTCAAACAGATGTTCTATTTCACAATTTTTAGGAAAAAATATAAGAAATCTAAGAATCATTTATAAAGTTGGTTTTAAAAACAACTATAATCCTGCAAAAAAAACTTTAGTTTTTAATCTCTTATCTATCTTAAAGGATTTTATGAGAAGTAAACTTGACACTTAAGATTTTTTTAAAAGTTTTTGTTTGTTACTGTTTGAAGTGTACAAAAATATGCATTCTAACCATCCAATCATTTGTATTAGAAAATACTTATTGAAAATTAATCAATTTGTTCCAGCTACATATAAAAAAGAGTAACAATATGCAGCCTTGAAACAAACTATATGAAATATAAAGAGATATTCAGTTTTTTTTACCTGAATGTGAATTGGATGGATTCTGCATTGATCCAAATAAGAAGCATTATTAGGTTCTCCACAAATATGAGGGTAGCAAGGAGTACTCCACACTACAATGTACTCCATTATTAGGTACTCCACAAATATGAGGGTAGCAAGGAGTACTCCACACTACAATGTACTCCATTATAACAATCAAAGTTATATTAAGAGACCTTTAATGTAGTTTCAATTGACCAATCAATAAGGGTGACAAGCCTGATTCATCACAGTGTCCTTGAAACCTTTATCTGAGTAACAATGAAGTAGAAATCATCTATCTTGGAAATTATAAATATTTTTCATTGTCTCTGCTAGTTACTTATTCTTAGTGAGAAATTATTTTGAGAAAATCAAGGATATCTCCATCAATTTTGCTCTAACAATTGTTTGAGAGGTACCGTTTATTTAGGGTAAATTTATGAAAACTTATGTAATCTGTTAAAAAAAACTTACCGAAACTATCAAGTATTTTCTTCTCTGAACAATCCCTATAAGAAATAATATCTCTGCTATAAATATCAAATTTGTTCTGTTCAAATCCTGAATCCATATGTTCCATTTAAATCCAGTTCTATCTAATATCCTAGAAGCCAAATATGTTGTAGACTTCTAGATTCTAGAATATATTCCGGAATTCAATTTACAGCAAGATCAAGTGCCATTAACTGTATTATACAACTTGTCCCAGTATTCCAAATCCACTATTCTCTTCACAGTGAATATATATTATAAAGTATATATATATGATTGATTTATTGACTTCAAACTGTTTTGTAAGAACCCAAATAGTTTCTAGTACAATAAATGACAACATAGAATTTGTACACTCTCAGTACAGCTGTATTCTGACATCACAAATGTCAACTCTGTTTTTGTGCCTAGGGAACGTTTTCATTTTTTTTTTAAATGATCGCTTCTTAATGAAAACGACGACGAAAAATTGAAAACAAAAAGATCGTTTTTTTATAAAGTTTGTTTTTTAAAAATTGTCTTTTTGAAAAACGATTGATTTCAAAACAATGGTTTTTATAAAAATCGACGTTTTGTTAAAGATCATTTATGACAAACTTTCGTTAACGACAACCTTCATTAGCGATCATTAACAACGACCCTTGTTAAGGATCGCTAACAACGACCCTGCATTAACAATTGTTTTAATGTGTTAAATATCTTTAACAAAGAGAGGAAACCGACCTGAAGGGCATCTGTACTTATCATTGAGTAGTTTTTTTAAGAAAATATCAAGAAGTTTTAACTCCCCCACAACTTTTTTACTTCGTGTAAGACAACATTCAATAAAGATTCATGTATTTTTTCTTTCAAAAATGACTGTTTTTTTAAAGTTTGTCGTTTCGTTAACGATCATTAATGACAACCCTTCATTGAAGATCGTTAACAATTATTAACATAATTGTCAATTAATTTTTTTTTCATAAACAATTGTTTTTTCAAAAGCAATTGTTTTAAAAAAACAATCGTATATAAACGGTCACAAATGGTTTTTATAACGATCATTGATTGTTTTCTAAAAGTTCAAAATGAGTGGTTCGTTATTAAAAACAATCAATTTTTTCCAAAAATGAAATGATCGTTTGAAAACGATTGAAAAACAAAACAAAAAACGATCGTTTAATGATCGTTTTCGAAAACAATAAAAAACCCTATTTGTGCCTGGAATAATTATTATTTATAGTGATAATTTTAGAATGAAGTAAGAAAATTATGTTTTCCTTGTCATATATGACACTTGTAACGTTGTGTATAATTGGTTCATTTCTATGTTGCCACCTATTGTACTTGATAATCTATTTGAAAGAACCCATAATGTAATATCAAACTATTATAAGTAATAAAAAAAAAAAAAAAATTTCAAAATTTAAGGGATATTTAATAGAACTTTAAGTATTTAAGTTTTTTAATGTAGAATTCCAGCAAAAATCAAAATTGAATATTGATAGTTTTCTATAAACATCTATAAATATATGAGAATACTTATACCAACTATAAAAAGTTGATTATGTGACTTAATGTAAACTTAGAGAAAAAAATAATATTATTAGGTTAAAAGCTTAAAAGTGTAAATTATATTGGATGTAAACCCCATTTTAACTGGATAAAACTACAATTAGTTGTATAATTATGAACCAAATACCAAAGCTTTGAATTAGCTTCTGGAACAACTTTAAACTAAATTAAAACTTTACAACTAAATACATTAAATAAATAAATTTGAGCATCTAAACTATTGCACTTTATCAAAGTAATTTTAACTCTTCCAGCTCAAGATCAAATTCTTGAATTTAAATATTATTGCCTTAAACATTGAACATCCCAAAAGATTTAGCAAATATAAAAAATCCTTCATCGACATATCCCAAAAATTTTGAACTGTGTGTACATATATAACCATCGCCACATTATTTTTTTCTATATCTATGAAAAGATGAATTGTGGTAACAAAAGTTTTTAATTGGATATATTTACTTAAAAACTTAATAATTGGATAGGATGATTTCTTTTCAAAATATAGCCAAAATTTGGGATTTTTTTACATATCTCAATCTCATATTTCATTACCTCTTAATTTTATTAAATATTTTGGGATATCATTTAATATATCCAAACAAAATTTACAATAAAATATCACCACCTGTTTTATATTACTATTATCAAGTTATAAAAGAATTCATTAAATGACAATAAATTTTTTAATTTAAAGTAATTTTTAGAAAGGGGAATGCATTGACACTTTCAGCAAACACTTTTTAATTATATGCAGGATTTACTTGTTTTGGATATCTGTAATTTCTATGTTCTATAAACTTCCTGGCTTTTAATTGGCTGTTTTTTTTCTAAAGATGATATTCTTCATGATATCTATATAATAAAACAAGACATTTGTATATATATATATTTGTTGTGTTATAGGAAATAAAATTTGAATTTTTTTTAAATATTTTTTTCAACATTCTTTTTTCAATTTTTATTTCACGGGCAACGCATGGCCCTTCATCTAGTATAATTAGATTAATCTGTAGATTGACAAAAGGTCAAGATCAATGCTTAATTTGGTAACATTGGTTTAAGAGTTCCCAGATCTGGTACACAATCTTTTTATTAGGGAAATTTTACTAGTTTATACATTTTTAAGATATAGTTTCTTATTCCTATAGTTCCTACCAGGCCCACAGCAAATATCCAGGATCCAGCAATAAACAGAGCAAAGCAGATCAACTGTAGCAAATCCTGTAATTTTGTTGAAAAAGGTTTAAGGATTTCAGGCTCTTAAAATTTCTTTCAAAAACATTTGTATATTATCTTAACATTTTTATGAAAATTATTCCAAACATTAAAAATTAATGCACTTTTGAAAATTGTGTTCAATTCAGAAAAACAATGCATTTCAATTCAAAAGGTTTTTAATTCAATTTTTGATACATTTCATTTAAAAATTTTACAAAAATTTTATATACATACTGAATGATTTTCCACAATCCCAATATTTTACAGATATCCATGTTTTCATTTTAATTTAACTAACGTTCACATTTGCATTTTTATTTTGATAAAGGAAATAATTACTCACCACAATCTCTTATTTTCTAATAATTGTGTCTCTTCAATTTGATGTTGAAGACCTTTTAAGTTTCAAGTTAGGGTTCTGTTAAATCAAAAAGTCAAAGTTTAAAAAATTAATTGAGCTTTGCCATTAGGTTGCAAAATTAGAGATCTTAGAAAAAGAGATTTTGGTAAATAATCAATTCCTAATCCTTTGAAAGATATCTTTAATTTAAGGTTTTCTGTTTCAAACACATTTCCATAATTCTATTCTTTGTTTTGACTAAAATTTCTTAATTCTGTTCAAATTTTATTGCTTTTCAGATTTATTTCAATCTTTAAAGTTTCACCTGTCTACTTTGCAGACATTTAATCTAAATTGATAAATTTAACTTTTTGATTCAAACTTTTAACAAAGAGAGAATCTTTTTAATAACTTCCACTTTGAATTTTAAAACTATCTGTTTTATTGAATTAAATATTGATTAATCATCAATTTTAATTTTAGAATAAACTTGAATCCTCTACTTTAAAATTTTCTTTTTAAAAATTATAGTTTTCAATTTCTTTACATCATAAATATTTTTTTTAGATCTTGATTTTTTATAATATTTTTCTAAACATTTTTGAAATACTTTGGAAGGTAAACGCTGAATTATCCAAGCAAGAAACTAAGAGACTATATTTTCGATATTGTTGCAATTGCTCATTTAAGTTAGATTAAATTTATCAAACTTGGAAATAGTATTTTACAAAATTTTAAAAGTTTTCAAGGATTGATCACTTCACTTCTAAATTTCTTGTTCGGAATAACGAACATATATCCCAGTAAAGTAAGTTTTGTGATATTCAGAAAGAAGCGGATTTTTTTTTGCATTTAAGAAAGAATTTGAAATACGTTTTTGAAAAAAAATGTCAACCAAATTTTACAAAAATTGTTTTTTTTGTTTGCCTTTTTGATGCTTTCGAAATTACTGGAGAAGTAAATGATTTCATTATGAATGAGACAATTTTTTTTATTAATGTTTTAACAAAAAATTTCCATGTCTCTGGTATTCTAAGAATGAACGCCATCTTGGCTATATTGGAAAATATATACCTGCCCCAATGCAGCTATCAAAGTTAGGATCACTCCTCTTAAAAGTATATTTTATATTTTTATTTTGAAAAAGGAATTGAGTCTTTGTCACAAAATCTGATTTTCCAATCTTTATATCTTCGCAACCCAAAGTTGTAAACCCTAGGTATTTCAAAATATAAATTCTTTCAGATCAAAAATTCTAAGTTTGAAAATCAAAGGGTTACATCATTAGGTTGCAATAATATAGGGATTAGATAATTTGAGTTTGTGACAAAGACTCAAATCCTTTCTGTAAAGGAATGTTTCAAACTCATACTCTAATCTTTCAATTTTTGTTTTAATGCAACCTGATGTTGTAGACCTTTGATAATTTGAACTATAATTTTTTTTGGTGTGGAATATAAAAGGTTTACACTGTCAATTTGCAAAGATATTGGAATTAGAAAACCAGAATTTGTGTTGAGTATTCAGGTCAAGTTTTTCTGTTTTAAAACTTTAATGTATCTGAAAAACAAATTTTAAAAAGTGTTTTAAACAGTTTTTTTTACTTTTTAAGATACAAGTGGTCACGGTATTATTTTTCTAAAGACAGTAAATAGACTAACAAATTATTTCTGATTAAAATTGATAGCATTTTACTAGGTAGGAAAGAAATTTTCAAACATTACGGGCAAAATTTAATTAATAGCAAGAAGTGATTAAACAACAATAGATGCAGTTGGACTTTTTCATTATCATCACCGTAAGCCATTTAAAGGGGTTCTAGTTAGTTCAACCACTTCTTTGTAATCATAAATTTTTGTCCTAATTTGATTATTGGAACTGGTTTGATTATTGGAACTTGTTTGATTATTGGAATTGGTTTAATTATTGGAACTTGTATGATTATTGGAACTGGTTTAATTATTGGAACTGCTTTGATTATTATTGTTTGATATAAAAATATAACCTTGTTGGATCCAGAACTGACCAAACAGATATAGCTACCAACACCAAACCACAGGTCTTAACAATATATAGTATTGGCTGGTTTGGAGGGTAAATCAAAAAATATGTTTATGTTGAGTTGGTTAATTTCAGAAGAAAATTACTATAATTTAAGAGATTGCTTGGAAAACTAATAGCAGCAAAGATTTTTAGGTACGTATGTTGCCATTCGTTAGATTAAATTAAATTTAAATAATTTTTATCTTGTATTTTGTTTCTTAAAGAGGACTAAAGTCATTCTTGGAGCTTGCTTTAGAGCTGAAATCCTGCATGCTATGTTCTGGGGAGAATTTTTTTTTAATTTTTAATTTTGTCTTTAATTTTTACAATTTTTTTAGTAAATATTTTGTTTTTTGTATAACTGCTAATAAGGTATATTCTATTATTATAAATTGAAAACATTGAGTTTTTTATTTCAAAAAACAAATCAGTTAAAAAATGGAGAAGAAATTATTCTGATACATTGCATGTAGGGTTTCTTTTCAAGCTAAATCAAGCTTAAAGATAGAGTTTCTAATGGCTGAAACTCAAATCCTTTAAGGGTATATCTTAGATTATTTTACAGCAAAGATTTTTAAGGTTTATTAGATTAAACTTAATTTAAATAAATATTTTCTTATATTTGATTTCTTAAAGGATCTGGGGTGATTTTCTTATTATTTTTAATTTGTCTGAAGATTTAACAGATTTTTTTACATTTTTGTACAACTACTAAAAAAGGTTTTAATATATTTGATAATATTGTAAATTGAAAACATGGAGTCGTTTATTTCAAAAAAACAAATCAGTTAAAAAATGGATAAGAAATCATCCTGAGTGATACGTTCCATGTATGGTTTCCTTTCAAGCTAAATCAAGCTTATCAGAGTGAGTTTCCATTTTTGTATTTTTTTGGTTAAATGATATAAATTAATACCCAATAAAATAGATGCAGGGTTAGAAGTAACCCAGTGTAGACAGCAAGACAATTCTTGGGAGACATTCTTTCTGAATTTATTGGTCTTGTTTTCTACATTATACTCTTGACAGTGTAATTTCTTTGTGTATTTCTATAAATCTGAAAGTACGAGAAACTAAATTAAGTATTTATAATACTTTTATTTTGATTCACAGTTCTTCAACATTTTTGTAGAAGGTTCAAGTCTTAATAAATTATATTTTGTGCACAGCTTTAGCAGGAGACCAATTTTAATCTAAAAAGACAAAAACCTTTAAGTTTAAAAATTGTATAGCCCAATGTGCCAAAGATATTATAGGTAATTTACAAAATAATTGTGCACTTATCTTAATATATATTGTAGTCATTCATGAAAAAAAAAATTTTAGACGAAGCAGAATTAAAGTTAATTTCATATAGAATTAAAAAATTAGAGTATTAAAAGCATTAATTCTTTTGGGAAAGTTATGGAGCCAATCAAACTGTAAAACACCAGGGGCACATGAGGGGGGGGGGGGCACCCATATAAAAAAATATTTTAAATCTCACTTTTGCCTGTAACTTAAAAAGTTTCATTAAAAAGCTTCAATCAAAACTGCCTTCAGTGTAAATATATCTTTGACATCATTATTTATAATTATACAATATGTATCGTTTCTATGAAAATATTGATATTTTTAAAGAAACGCTTCCAACTCTATTTTTCACCCATCGAAGCTTACACCACAGTATTAAGACTTAAGAGGAAGTGTCTGATGTTTACACTTAAGAAAATTACATAAATAATTTATTAACACTTGTTATATGGAAGTGTGTATATGATGAAATAGTTTACATAGTCAAAAAGGTATCAATATTTTTTCAAAAAAGGAGTTTTTAAAGGGGGAGGTCAAAATGTTGCCCCCTACACAAATGCTCTTGTATGCCACTGTATAGCACCGTGCTATGATATAAACATGATAATTACATAAGACTCAGTTATGATATGATTGGCTATGAGTTGACCATGTTTGTTAAGTGCACATCAGTTTCATAAGATATAGTTAGAGGATAACCTGTAGAATTAAGAAACAAGAGAAAGGTTAAATAATTCTAGACCACAGATGCTCAATAATGTATTATTTACAAACTTTAGCTTACCAAATTATAGAAGGAACTACCTGTTGGTGTAACAATCAAATCAAATCAAATCAAATCAAATATTGTTTATTTACGCAGAAACATTATATAAGATAAATCATTATTACAAGGGGTAGATTAATTGTCAACTGATTAATGTTCTGCGTCTGGAGAACTGCTATAGCTGTAGCTGTTTTCATATCAGCTCCCCAGTTGCTGGATAATAAAAGAAAGAAAAACTATAGATACAGTATTGAGGGGGTGGTGGTGGGTGGTTTAGGTAGGGCAGAAGGATTGGATAGAGGAGAACAGGGACCTCTTAGCTTCAACTATGATTTACAAATATTGATTATTAATTAATTAAACTGGTGCTCCCAACGCTCCGGTCCCCTACTGTATCCTTTGAATTTATAGTTTCGTAAATGTTGCATATGATTAGAAGTTTATTTAATTCATCCTCCATATAGAGACAAGAAAAATCAATCATGGTTGAAGTGTTCTGGATAGATGAGAGAAATATGATTGAGTTTGAAAAAAAAAAGAAAACTAGAATGGAATAAAATTTATTTTCCTCTCAACCCCTTCACACTAGATATCTAGGAAAAGAATACTCTGGGGCAATAAAATCTAGACAAATGTAATTAACGAATGTAGACAAATGTCTTCAGATATATACTTTTCTCTTACATTCTTTCTTATGAAGAATTCGAGAAAAACTTTATGGGACTGTTGGAGCATACTACGTTGGGGAATTTTCAAGTGAGTCCTGTTTAAAAAAAGAGAGGCTTGACTGCTTCACAATGACGCGACGGTACCATTCTCATTCTCATTTCATTAAGATATTATACAATCAATAACTATCGATAATTTTTAATTTTTTATGATCTTACTTTTGAAAACTTTTATTTCTGTTCGAGGATTTTTTTTTATAATGAAGACAAAATTTACATATTTTCCAGGAATGTTCGAAAATCCAGCGCCAGTAAAATATTATTTAAAAAAAACGAAATCAAAAATATTATGAAAAATTAACTATATAAGAATGTGTCGAAAAATAATTAATCACTATTGTTTGTAATATCTGAATGATTTCTTTGGAATTAAATTTACTGTTTTACGATCCGAGTCGTAAGTTGCAACTTTCTGATTTTGTATGAACGCTACGTTTTTCGGTCTGAGTAGTTTTTAATAATTTTCTCATTTTTAGCCGCAACAGATAGAAGTAAGATTAGTAGCAATCAGAAGCGATTATTTATCGCCATAAGCCTATACCTCCTTTAATTTTTCGCGAACAGTCCCTTTAAAGAAGAAAAGAACAATATGCTAGATATCACACTATTAGAGGAATTTAAATGTGTTCGCCGACTTATGAAAAATGATAGAATATCGTTGTTCGACCAATTCAAAACTCTAACATGATTCGATAGAATTTCATAACAGAATGATAGGAATAGTCAAAAGGTGTTTCTCAATGCATGAAAAAAATTTAACAAAAAATATAAAATTGGAAATTATTTAGCTTAAAAGTGTCAGTAGTGGAAACATGAAACAGAACTTGTGCTGTATATTGAAAGGTGAATTAGATATGCATTTTTTTGTATTTAAAAACTTAATTTTTTCATTTGTGGTGTTTTTATCAGCGACAATGAGAATCAGACATGTCCCGTTGTAAATGAATGGTGACTTAAAAATACTACAGTCCCTTTAATGGATAAAGGGACAAATCAAAACTTTTTGCAGTTTTTAGCTTATTTGTTTAAACCGAACATCCGGAGATACAAAGTGGATTTAAAGTTTCCAACTTAGACTACTGAGATACAATTTGAACACCGTGATCTTAGTCTTTGCCAAAAACTCAAATTTTTCATTCCCTAAATTTTTGCCATGCCCCATCTTAAATGAATGGTAACGTAAAAAATACTACATTCCCAAATCAAAACTTTTTGCAGTTTATCTTGTTTTTAGCTTATTGGTTTAAACCGAACATCCGGAGATACAAAGTGGATTTAAAGTTTCCAACTTAGACTACTGAGATAGAGTTTGATTACCATGGTCTTAGTCTTTGTCACAAACTCAAATTCTTCATTCCCTTTATCTTTGCAACCTGATACTGTAAACCTTTGGTATTTCAAAACTAGATTATCTGATCTAACAGAATTAATGGTTTGAAATATCTAAACTCAAACCAAATCCAGAAAGTCAACTAGAAACCTGAGTCAAACTCTTGTAAATTTATTCTTTGCAACCTGATGTCATAGATCTTTTTTATTTCAAACTCTGAACTCTGATAGATCAAATAATTATATTTTGAAAAAAAACAAAGGTTTATTTCTACAATAAATCAGTTCCTTCGTATAAGTATGTATTGAGGACACTGATGTCATCCTTACATAAAAGTCAGAGCCAAGAAACCTCTTTTAACCCTTCCAAACATACAACCCTTGTTTGACTATTCAACTTTTAGCCGTTTCTATAAAAGTTCAAAAGCAAACTGAGAACTTCAGAAGTTGTAAGTTGTATGTGATTTGATTCTACCATGAATATGGTTTGAATTTAATGCTTTTCTTTAATTCAAGTTGTGATGTATGCACACAACATTGTGGAAACTTATATTCAGTTTGAGAGTAGCTTCCTATCTTCAAGTAGAAGATTAAACCCTACATCTGACATGTCCCCACCAAGCTTTAGATTACCCCCCCCCCCTCTCCCACCCTCGTCAGCATTAGCATAAACCCCTTAAACTTCCTTTGACTGGCGATATTTTTTCAAATTGAATTTTATACACTCCTTTAAAATAAATACATTTAGTTTTTTTAAATAAATTTGATTTTTGGCCTAGAATGAGGTGCTTTATATAGTTAAAAAATGTCTTAATGGCAACATTAAAAAAAATTTTAATGATTTGAATTGTTGAAGAAGATGCGTTTCATTCAATCTATCATCTTTCTTTAGTTTTTCTACCAAGGAAAAAGGATTGTGAATTGGATTCAATAAAAAGCCTTTGGTTAGTTTTAATTACTTGTACAATACTAGCTGCTAACTTCAATTATTTGTACAATACTAGCTGCTAACTTCAATTATTTGTACAATACTAGCTGCTAACTTCAATTATTTGTACAAAACTAACTGCTAACTATTTAATTATTTGTACAATACTAACTGCTAGCTTCAATTAGTTCAATGGACAGACATAAATTTAAATTTATTCAATTCTGTTTAATTTGTTCAGTTTATTTATTTCTATATTTTCCAGACTGTCACTTTTGAGATTATATTCGGAATAATTCTAAATATATCAAAAGGGGAATGTCCACATTTCCATACAAAGTGGGGGGGGGGGCCTTCTTACTTTGTTTTTATAGATATATTTTTTAATCAAAAACCAAAGTGGGGTAAAAATAATTTTTCCCGCATTTTTCAGACATTTTTTTTGGGAAACTCAATTTTGGACTCTATTACTAAAGATTTCTCTCTGATTTTTGCATGCAGAGCTGAATTGTGATCAAGTTTTGAATCAAACAACAAAATTTTGGGAAAATAAATTTTCCCGCATTTTTCAGGCTTTTTTCAAAAACTTTGTGATAGGTCCATGTTTACCTCACCAATTATTCTGTAAAAAAAACTGAATTAATAAAGATGATTTCTTGCAAGTAATTCTTTTTTAGGACTAAATAATTTTATGAACAATTAAATATTGATGTTTTTAATTTATTAACTAAAGGAATTGAGTCTTTTCCACAAACTCTGATTGTCTAATCCTTTATCTTTGCAACCCAATCTTGTAGACAAGCTCAGTTATTTAAACATATGAATTCTGCTAGATCATAAAAACCAAGTTTACAATACCAAAGGTTTACACCATCACGTTGTGAAGATAAAGGGATTAAAAAATTTGAGTTTGTAGCGAATTCTCAAATTCTGTGAAACATAAATTTGGTGAAATTCAAGGTGCATATAGAATACCACCTTG